TCAAGTTATGTTGCTGCATTTTTAACAACATCAGGAGAAGATCATGTGAGTAAAGACTGGCTAATAGACTCTGGTGCATCCATGCACATGACGTGCAGAGACAACTAGATGTATAATGTCTCCGAGCCCACAGTGAAGAGTGTAACTGTTGCAAATAGGGAGCCACTAGCTGTAAAAGGAGTCGGATATGTTGACATACACATTAACCAGGACAAAATACAAGTGAAGAATGTACTGTTTGTCCCCGGATTAGCTGCAAACCTTCTTTCAGTCAGCACTATTGTGAAGAGTGGATATAAAGTTACGTTTAACAGCAACGGGTGTAATATTCAAAATAGCAAAGGAGAGATGTTCTGTACTGCAACACTAAAGAACAACTTGTATATTATGAACACAGGTCGTCAAATGGTTCATCTGATATCAAGCGCAGTGAGTTCTAATGACACATACTTGTGGCATCTGAGAATGGGACACCTTAATAATTCAGATATTAGAAAATTGCCCAACTGTGTGGAGGGTGTGGCACTAACTCCGGATAAAGGTAATGTCAATGATATTTATTGTGAACAATGTTTTGAAGGCAAACATGCCAGTGTGCCGTTTAAGAATGTAGTTTATAGAGCAGTCAAACCTCTTGAATTAATACATTCGGACCTGTGCGGTCCTATGGAGAACTTGCCATGTGGAGGTAAGAAATATTTCATTACTTTTACTGATGACTTCACCCGAATGGTCTTTGTGTACTTCCTCAAGGATAAAATGAATGTTCTTGAGACCTTTAAAGATTTCAAGTCTAAAGTAGAGAATGAATTGAATAACAAAATTAAAGTACTTTGCACTGATAGTCCTTTTTAACGGCTGTTAAAATAAGTCACAAATCTGGAAAAAAGGTTGCATCGACCAGTAACTTCATAGTAGAGGTTCCAGCAAAATACGTAAAGCTCTTATATCCCAAGAAAGGCTTTACATAAACTGGACTTCTTGCCCTGTCAGAGATTTTACGCTCGTCACCAGATGCTACAAATGTCAGCAATATGGTCACGCAGCAAAAACGTGCCGGGAGCTCTCCCCATCGTGTGGCCACTGTGGAGAAGTGGGACATTTAACATCTGCGTGTACTAAGAAAGTCGAGTCCCATAAATGCGCAACTTGATCTCGGTTTAACAAACCCAGCCAGCATAAAACTGGAGACGTTGAGTGTCCCGCCAGGAAGATAGCGGAATATCGGTACTTCAACTCAATCGACTATGAGGGCGCATAAAAATGCATCATACTTTAGGTCTTTCCGAGTTGGTTAGCCTTTGCCCTGAACAACAGTTACACAACATAACAGCCTTATTGCTGCCTAAGCAATTAACCTAGTTTATATTCCTGCTGATGTTTGCAATTCCTCGGTCGTAGTGATATGTTGTAATTCTGAATAAATGTTAATGTTAGGTATATACTATAATGTTGCAATATTTTTACCTATCCCTTCGGGGATTTATTGTTATGTAAGTAGGTATATTTTATGTATAACAAATAATTAAATATGCACCTCTGCCTATCTCTTATGAGAATGTAGAGTATGAGGTTTTATTTTGTATGTATGTATGTATGTATATTAAAATAATGATATTGTTTACTGTTGCATAATGATAAGTATGTAGTTACGTTTTTAGAAATAAGATGTCTTCCTACAGAAGTAATGTATAGAGCTCCTTTCGCCTGCGATACAGGATTGTCTTAGTGCAGGCATCTAACTTTATGAGATCAATTTTACTTACTTGAAACATATTTTGTATTTCGCATTTTTGAATTATGAATAAATTTCATTATTATTATTATTTATATGATAATGGCAAAGAATATTGCAATAATCATTTTGAAAGCTTTTTGTCTAAACATGGGATTGTTCACCAGACATCTACACCCTACACTCCGAGGCACAACGGCATGACAGAACGTATGAACAGGACGTTAGTGGAACGTGCAAGATGCATTCTGTTCTATGCCAAGCTGGAGAAGCGAATATGGGCTGAAGCTGTGGCAACCGCTGCATACAATATCAACCGATCCCCTACCAAATCATTGGAAGGTAAAACACCGTATGAGTTATGGAAAGGTAAAAACCCAATTTATCTCACATGAAAGTATTTGGCTCAGAGGCTATGGTACATGTACCAAGCCAGAAATGTCAAAAATGGTATAAAAAGTCTGAGAAAATGATTATGGTGGGGTATTGTGAGAACACCAAGGGCTACCGTTTAATGAACCCTATAACACACTAAATTATAAAAAGTAGAAATGTTGCTTTCTTTGAGAAATACAATAAGAATGTCAGTGTGCCTGTACCCACTCATTGTGATGTTGATGTTACAGACGAGGGATCTCAGTCAGTAAGTGACAGCATTGCCTCATCTTCTAGTGGTGGAAAGGTAGAGAGTACATCCATCACTCAGGGTAAGAAATTACTCACTCAGGAGATGATTAAAGGTGATGACTCAAGTGAGTATGACACAGATTATGAGGATCCAGATGAAAACTATAGACCTCCGAGTTATGTGAGAAACACTCATAACAACAACAAGGTTACTCCGGTCACGTTATAATGACAACACTCAGGACATAGATACTTATCTATACTTCTTTACAGACGCGACTGATCCCCAGACTGCTGAGGAGGCATTGTCATCATCACAAGCCACTGAATGGAAAGCTGCCATGGATAAAGAGTACAATTCCTTAATAAAAAACGAAACATGGAGTTTGACAGATCTTCCACCGGGCAAGAAGGAAAGCATTCTTGCCCGGTAAACCCACTTGCAGGGTAAAGACCCTGCAAGTGGGTTCACAAAACAAAGATGGATCACAGTGATAATATTGTTTGTTATAAGGCAAGGCTATTTATAAAAGGATATATCCAAAGAAAGGGTACTGACTACAAAGAAACCTATTCTCCAGTGGTCAGGTATACAACTATCCGATATCTATTTGCTTTGGCAGCTAAACACAAGCTAGAAATAAATCAAGTGGATGCCGTGTCTGCCTTTCTTCAGGGAGAAATTGATAAAGAAATCTACATGCAACAGCCAGAACAATACAGACAAGGATCTCAGGTATGCAAGCTTCATAAATCGTTATATGGCCTCAAGCAAGCTAGCAGATTGTGGAACACAAAGCTGAACAATGCTTTACATGCATTGTGTATGCAGCAATCAAAAACAGATCCCTGTGTCTACTACAATACTGAGAAGAATACATTTGTAGCTGTCTGGGTTGACGATTTAATCATATTCACTTCTCAAGCAGAAATGAAAACCTTATTGAAGGAAAGTTTAAAGCAGCACTTTGAAATGAAGGATATTGGACCAGCAAGTCAATGCATAGGCCTACATATTACCCGAGATGGAGACAAGGTTACAATAGATCAAGAAAAGTGTATAAGGGATATCCTGGTACGGTTCAGAATGTCAGACTGCAAACCTGTCAAAACATCTTTTGAAGTAGGTATGAAATTCAATACAACAGAGAAAGAAGAAAAGTTTGAATGCCCCTATCAACAAGCAATAGGGTCTTTGCTGTATTTAGCTCAGGGTCTAGTACCCTGAGCCAAATACCGGATATATCCTTTGCTGTCAATGCACTGAGCAGGTTCAACAATAGTCCAAGCTCTGAACACTGGACTGCAATGAAGAGAATATTTAGATACCTGCAAGGTACAAAGGACCTGAAGTTGGTTTACACTGGAAAAGGAAATGATGAGATAGTTGGCTAGTGTGACACCGACTGGGCCAGTGATTTGCGCGACAGAAAGTCGTGCACAGGTTACATTTTTTTTTGTTGCAGGGTGGTGCTATTTCCTGGCGATCAGACAAGCAACAAATCGTTACCCTATCGACGGCCGAGGCGGAGTACATGGCGATGTCTTCCGCGGCGCAGGAGGCGCTATGGCTGCAGTAGCTTCAAAGCGAGCTTAGTCACCAGCAGAAGAACCCTCTTACTATTTTTAGTGATAATCAGAGTGCAATTAAATTAACTAACAATGACTGTTATCTTCCTAAAACGAAACATATACCTCTAGACATTCGTTACCATTTCTTAAAGAATCATGTTAGTAATTTAGAAATTAAGTTTTTGTATGTAAAAGGTGAAGAAATGTTAGCTGATAATCTTACGAAGGGTGTTACTGCTGACAAACATTTGTATTGTGTTTCAAAATTGGGGTTGCGTTCCAGGGGATGGTGTTAGAATACGCTGTTTTGGAACGCAACCATTTTAGTTCGTTTTTCTGTCACTGGTGTCGCTCTCTCTCTCTCTCTCTCTCTCTTTGAATCTCTCATGTAAACGGTCGTACGAAATAAATTACTAAAGTATTCTGTGTAAATATTTCTGAGGTACATCCACGTTAAAATCCTACAAAGGGTAATAATGATCTGGCAAACCAAAGTGCTAAATCCTGTGATAGCATCCACTTATCTTTTCTTTCACTAGTTTCACTGCTCTCAGTCACAGGAATCGATTTTATTTAAACGGAGAAAAAGTCCTTGAAAGGTAAGCCTTTAATTATTGTTGGACCTCTTCCATTTGCCATTTAACCCTTAATCAAACAATGGAAAAATATATGCCACTTTCACCTCACTAGTTTATGGTTGCAAAAATTAAAATAAACCTGAACGCATCCCTTTTGTTTTTTTTTTGTTTCAGTCGTTGATAGATGTCACTGCCGATTTTGACATTATTGTTTGATATTGAAATGTCGTTTAGCTGTCAAAAAATTTTTCATTCAATGCGCGATTTAAGTGACTGACAACGTTGAAATTAAAAATATATATTTACTTGAACAGAGTTACAACAAGAATAATCTAAATTTAATACAATATTGATTTCTTATATACTAATTATCTGCTAATTCAGTAATTTCGTAATAATGTATGACCTAGATAAAAAGTCATTATTTAGTTACTTTATTCTTGCTTACGAAGCTAATATGTGTATATTGGGGTTCCTTAACTCGCGCCAAATTTGATGACTGAGGAGCACTTTTAGCGGGACAAAAGTATAAAATATTCATTTACGTCTATAAAAATTCCGGTAAGTACATTACATTATTTTGATTGTTTTGTGAATAATATTACATACCATACTGTGGAATGCAAAATTCTGCCAAGATAAGTTATTTTTTTAGAAAAAAGTGACTCTAAAGTACGTGGCCGTTGTCCGTTCATAACTTTTACCGTTCCGAAAGGTGGTGAAAACAATACCTTGATTTTGGGTTTATAGTTACAGTTTTTTTTATCATTTTTGCAGGATACCGACCAAAATTTTTTCTAAAAAACATTTAAGCGATAGAGATCTCCAGAACATCTTGGAAAATGATTCTGCGAGCGACTCTGAGGACGAAATGGGTGATTTTTTACATTTTCCTTCAAACACATACATCAATTTATCTGAAAACGATCTCATCAATCACCAATTGGAAAGGCTGTTTGAGGGTGGAATGGAAGAAGAAGGTGAAACCATTTTCGAGTTCACAGAGGTTGTTTCAGATGAAATTGACGAGGTATCGCATGTTACTTTTGCTAATAATATGCATGAACGTATCGAGGTGTCGGATATTGTTTTGTCTAATCATAATATGCATGAAAATATTGAAGTAATGGATGTTGCTTCTGCTTATTCACTAAACATGTCTTACACAAGATCAGAAAGAAATTATAGTGATTGGAAAATAAAAAATAGATTTCATTCTGTTCCCCAATTCACATCCAGGTTTTGTCCGAAAATATCATATTCACACAAGAACCAGCCTATTGATTTCTTCAGTAATCTTTTTCCTGATGATTTGATAAACATCATTGTAACAGAAACCAATCGCTACGCCATTCAAGAAAATAGCAAGAACTATATGCCGACTACTCAACGAGAGATAAAAGCTTTTCTGGGTGTGATAATTATGATGGGTTTACACCCACTGCCGGATTTTGAACTATACTGGTCCACGGATCGTTTTTATAATAATCCAGATATTTCATCTACTTTTAGCCTAACCAGATTCAAAAAGATACTCGAAAATTTACACGTCAATGATAATACAACAGCCGCACCGCGTGGGTCACCCAATTTTGATAAATTGCACAAACTCAGGCCTTTGATAGAAAAACTTAACTTCATATTCTCACAACAGGCAGAAGAATCAACTATTTATTCCGTGGACAAGTGCATGGTGAAATTCAAGGGCAGATCTTCCATGAAACAGTACATGCCTATGAAGCCTATAAAACGGGGCTATAAAGTATGGGCTCGTTGCGACGCAAAGACTGGATACTTATACGCTTTCGAAGTTTATACGAGTAAATCCGATATAAAAGATGAAGCTGGGTTAGGTTTCAGTGTCGTCACGAGTTTGTGCAAAAATCTACCACGTGGCTCATTGGTAGTGTTTGATAATTTTTTCACGAGCTGTAAACTGATTGATATATTATATCAAAATAATATCTATGCAATTGGGACCGTCAGAAAAACACGCAAGGGTTTACCAGAGTTCATGAAAGTGAAACCCAAGCACAAGAATAAGAAACTTGAGAAACATCAATTTTATGCCAAAAGCTCAAAACCCATAACAGCTATAAAATGGTTGGATACAAAAGAAGTTTGCGTCTTGTCGTCGGCACATAAACAAAATGAAATTACAATGGTGATGAGGACACAGAAAGACGGAACACGAAAAGAAGTTCCCTGCCCAAAAGCGATTGCCGATTATACGTAGCAAATGGGCGGGGTCGATCATTTCGACCACTTTCGGTCGTCATATGCAACCGGAAGGAAATCGCGCAAATTCTGAATGCGTTTATTTTTTTTTTTATGCTTGATGCTGCTGTAATAAACGCATATATACTCTATTTGACAAAGCATGCACAACGCGATTCTTCACACAGGGAATTTAGACTACGACTTGCAAGAGCACTCATTGGAGATTTTACGTGTAAAAAACAAAAACAAATTGTTTTTAAGAACAAGAAAGATGGAAACTTTGGGGATCCTGATGAAATTCGTCTCCAAAGTGTTGGCATTCACTTTCCAGAACAACAAGAAACTTACACCCGATGTAAGTTTTGCTCGACAAAAAAAGATGCGAAGAGGTCCAACATGAAGTGTTCTCACTGCGGAGTTACATTGTGTACGAATTAATGTTTCAAAAAGTATCACATGGCGCTCAACGATGAGGAATAAATTACTTGTTGGAAATGTGTGGTTTCATTTATTTTAGGATCTTAAAGAATTGCTATAAAGAGAAGATTTTTTAGACCCAAAAGTGGGTCACTGCGAATATGAGGAGAATAACAACTATTACTTCCCAAACAGACAATTGTTATATACTTGCCACATATTATGATCTGTTACCGGACAATGGCAACATGTTGACCACCAAAAAAAAAAAAAAACAAATATGCAAATGTATATTTCGGGATATTTTAGTATATTTGTGATAATTATTCATATTCATATTCATTTATTTGCATACCATAATGTGAATAAGGTGTTACAATATACGCTTAAAGCTAAGATACATTTATGGACCCCGTAAGGGCACAAGCAACATTTGATAAATGAAGTTAACATTTTTTTAAAATAACATTTTTGTTTTTAAATAAAGTTGACATTTATCATCAAATATCTAATATTAAAATGTAACATATTATCGAGTTTAAGTTAATTAAATAATTAAAAGTCAAAATGAAATAGTTACAATAGGAAATAAAATAACAGAGGTCATAAAAAAAAATCAAAATAAAATATGTAAGTAAATAAAATTATTGTTAGGTCAAATAATTAAAATCAAATCAAAATAATCAAAATCAAATTAATATAAAATCAAATTAAAACAATCAAATTCAACTCAAACAATCAAAATTAGATTAAAACAATCAAAATAAACTCAAAATAATCAAAATCAAATTGAATTGATCAAAACAAATTATGTACACAAAATAATATGTCAACTCAAAATGACAGTAGTCAAAATTTACATTTTCGATGAATTTAATGAGCATCAAAAATTAAATCATCTAAATTAACTAAATAATCATTTGTACCTTTAACCTTGTGTACTTGTGATCTGTAGACACAGTACTGTATTATACACTACTAGTGTGCTCCTATAAATATATGTTTGTTATAATCTTTCTTTAAAATACTCTTCAATACTGTAATAGGCCTTATTTAGTAGAAACTGTTTTAATTTCATCATAAATCTATTGTATTTATCTTCATTTTTTATTTCTTGAGGTAACTTATTGTAAATTTTTATTGACATGACCAGAGGTCCGGAAGAGTGTATTTTCAATCGTGATGTTGGTAGATTTAGTCTTTTTCTATGTCTCAGTGTGAATTTACATTGTGTGTGTTCTCTAGTGGAATAGAATTCAGGATACTTACGAACAAATTTGCACATTTCATAAATATAAATACAAGGTAAGGTGAATTAGGATATATGTAACTCCATTTCACCAAAAACATCATTATCACTCCTCCATTGCGTCCGATTAAGGGTTAAAGTATATTCATATATTCATAATATATTCATTCTTAAGTACGCAAACCGTCACATGGACAAAACGAATTTACTGGATTAGCTAGAAACCTTACCTTACTTCGCGCCGTTCACGTACTCACGATTTTACGCGTATTACCTATATTACTATTCTGAGTACATTATTATTCAGTCGGAACTTACTTTGAAAACAGCAATTCGCAATCCTCTTATTTTTTCTTTTTTTTTAGACAAGCGTCACAAAATACTTGCTCACCCAAAACAGTTCTTTTTTCCCTCCAATGTTTACAACTAATTGCCCGAAATGATTCCAACAAAAACTGTGTTTGTTGGTTGATATGTTGTTCAAAACAGTGACAGACAGTTCACTTATTTTTTTTTGTAACGTCTACCTCTTCTGTCGACATTTTGTATTTTATTTTGTAACAAATAATACGCGCGGGAATAGCGAACAGCGGGGGCGAACTGGGATTTGCTGGCCGACCGGCGCGACGTCCGCTTCCATCGGCGGTGACGGCGGGTGTAAACTGTAACGCGCGGCAGCGGTGGCGCGCCATATCTACATTGAACCTGGAAAGACAACTTTTAACTTTTGCTGTTTGTGAAAACTCCGGTTGAAATGTGATCTTATATTACATAAGAGATTTTCAACTGATCTTGGAAATTTCAAACACACTTTTGAAGCCGATAAATTAATGATATGGCATTTTATGCAGGTGACATAAGGTAACGTCTGTTTTAATTTTGCAAACACTGAGCACTGAGTACTGAGTACTCCTACCATAACATGTCTGATGAAAAGTCAATCAAATTATCAAGAGTCAAATAGAGACGTAGCTATACTTGAAACAACTTCTACCATATCAAAAAGTGTGTTGATACCTTTTTGTGTCGTTATTGAGCACAATAATAGTAAAATCGCATTGTTTTTTTGAACTACGATCAGTAGTTCCCCAGTTGATCCCCAGGTTCTTAAATTTAATTCACAGTTCAGGACATTTTTCATGATTGTCGTGGATTTTGTTCTGTGAATATTTAGACTTTTTGCAATTTCTGTGTCCGGAAATATATCAGCACAAAGAGATCAGAAGAGAGAGAATAGATTATTAGTTGCCAAGAGACCCATCCATTTTAATTCCGCTCTTTAAACTTTATTATCATTGGATGTTTGCATTTAATCCATAACTTTTCTTGACATTGCATCCTGTTTCATACAAGATTTATGGGATTCTGACTTCATATAACGAATCAAATCACTTCTGTGTGGACATAACTAAGAGTTGCGGGCTGGACAGGCAAGCCAGGCAGGACTGCAAGCTGAGTTTAATTTTTAACACTGCCAGTCCTTGAATTCTGGTTCTAAAAGCCACATATCATTAAATTTATCCTTTTTAGTAGACAGTTTCTATTTTTTTTTTCAGATGTAGAATTAGAAACAGAGGAAGAGGCCACTTCTGTCAACGCTTTATTTCTGTCACTATTTCACGGTAAGTGACAAAAATGTCGTGAATATACTTGTACTGACATTTTTGTCGAAAATTGGTCAACTGCCTAAAGTTTTGTTATTATTATAGCGCCGGGCGCGGAAATATGGAAATATGACAAACCAGTGGTACTAGCAGTACATTTTTTTTTAGGGGGGAAACTCATCTAATGACTGCTCCCGCCTGGGTGAGGCGGAAGGGAGTGTCACTCTTACTGACTAAAAACCACCCCGTTCCATCTTCTGCATGTCGAGCCGGAGCCCCGGTTACCCGTTAGGTTCTCCGCGACGTACTAGCAGTACTTGCACGTATGATGTTTAATGACATCAGACCCGATGATAATAAAGAAGTCTCCAAGAGTTAATTGTTTTTCTTGTACTATTCTGGTCAAATTTTAGATGGTTTGTCAAACTCAAACTCAAAAGCAAATTTATTTCAATTAAACTATAATTTGGTACTTTTGAAACGTCAACAAATATTCACTAAGCTAGGCGAGTTGTGGGATTTAACCAGGTCCTGCAAGGCAATACAACTGTTTTCACTGACATATAATATTTCACCGGTACTCGAATAATATTATTTTAATTCTCTATAGTCTTCATAGCATATCTAGTTTATGTAGAATGCCAACGCGTAGGTACGTCCAATATAGGCTTTCTTTTATGTGCCATTTGAAGTATATTTTTCAATAGTACGAAGTTTCCGCACAATAGCACGAGCTTCTTCTACTATATATATGGACTGGTCTTCATTTATAGCGTCGTTGATAGCAAGCTGCAAAATGTGTGCTGCGCATCGTACCGACGCGATCGTCAATACGCCTGCTCTGCATCCTCTGTATCATTTTGTAGTGTAATTTTTGGTGGTTCTATATCAAAATTCTGGTTGAACTCTTCGTCTGAGTCATTTAATTCGTCGTTCAACAGACGAACCATTTTCACCATATTCGCACCATTGTCGGTTGTGATAGAGTAAATTTGTTCTGATCTAATATTGTACTTTATGAAAATATATATGTCGCAGAATCAACAAAGATGCACAACTATCGAGTATCGTTATTTTAGAACAACGCAATCTGTTATCATTTGTCGGAAACGTCAAGCAGTGTGCTTGGGTGAGGTCGGTACGGGGCGTGGCATGTTTGCATTTTTGAAAGGCGTTTGAAAGGCGTCACTTTTGAGTTGGACACGAGGGTGAGCGGTTGTTCGGCCAGCCCGTACCGAACTTACCGCGTTTCCGAAGGTAATCTGTTTCCATCGCTTTAATCAATTAGGATTTTGTTAATTTATTATTGGGAATGTGTTAATAGACGATTATAATCAGTGTTGAGACTATTATTTCTTACCTATTTGATGTTTCTTACATAGTCTTCCTTGTATAAAGCTCTTTGATTCTGAGAATTTAGCTTGACCTACTTTATTTATATAAAACATTTTAACAACTTCCCTGTCCAATGAGTCATATATGACTCATAGGAACGTACTAGAATAAGTTCATGAGTCACAGGTGACTCATTTCTCTATACAATTTGAGGCACATTTTTCGGTATGAACGTGACATGATATTTATTTAAATCGTACGTGGACGTATAGCAAAAAGCCTAATGTTTACAATGATAAAAGAAAATTTCGCGATTTTTTTATATTTATCATTTAATCACTATAGAAATTTGCCATAAATAAAACTCTAATAGGTACTGCAACGTAAGGATTTTATTACAAGAAAATATTATAAAATCATGCATGCATCAAGCATGTTTCTCATTATAACATTCTAAACAGAATGCTTTTTCACACCTTTTGCACTCAGTGTGTACTTGCTTAGCTTTTCTTGCCAATAATCCTTCGTTTTTCAATTTGACATAGCACCCAGTGCATCTTTTTCGGACGAGTTTATTGTTTGCATTTCGAGGTATTTCTTGTAGAGAATGTCCAGAATGACTTGAAGAGGCTATTGAAGGTCTTGGAGAGTTACAGGAGATTGAAGATCTTTTAGGTTGGTTACTTTCTGTGATTAATGCTGCAGGTCCAAGGAAATGTCGGACTAGATGTTCTTGGACAACTTAGGGCCGTCTGCCAACTCGTTGTAGATGCATCTGGCATTGATAATGGCGACTTGAAATAGCAAATCTATTGCTATCTTTTTGTACCACGATAAACTTTTACGTAACGGCGAATGAAAGGAAGCAAGTTGGTCTGAAATATCGATGCCTTTTTTGGCTTCATTGTAATCGATGATTGCATCAGGTTTCATAATGTCGCCGCGGTAAGTAGTGACGTTAGACATACCGTCTCCATGGCAGGTTGAGATCATAAGGACGTCGCGTTTATCATGCCATTTTAGTACAGTATAGAGGTTGTCCTTTTGTCTAGCTATTTGTTCTCCTTTTCTTAACTTCGCCTTTACTACTTCTTTTGGCAAATTTCTTTTATTTTTACGTAAAGTGCCGCATAAATCAGTATTGCGACCTTTTAGATACTCGGCCAAAGGCAAACTGGTATAATAGTTGTCAGCGACGATAATACGACCTGCATCTAAAAGCGGCTCTGTGAGCTGTACCACTGTTGAACCAAGTTTATCAAGACCCTCTAATTGATGCGAAATCCCGTTATAAAGTTGGTAGGACCATGTGTAGC